CGATATGATACGCCAGGTCCCTTGAAACATATGCTGTGCAGATGTTTCTTCCCTGCAGCGACTGTGTCAAGCAGCAAGGGTGGACTGGCTTCCAGCAAACCCCCAAGCCACACCAGCTGGGCAGTTGATTGAATTTTGCAGGAGGAAGAAGGATGGCAAGAGAGTAGGCCTTAGAATGCATCGTTTCTTTCAGCCAGGCGGCCGTGGTGGAGACAAGTAATGTTTGGGGTTGAGTCCTGGCTCTGGTTGTTTCTGGCAGAGACCTTTAGCCTCTCTGACCCTGACCCCATCTCTGAACTGGGGATCAGAAGGGTTGTTGTGATCCCCACCAGCTATGGGCCCACCAACCATGAGAAGCAAAGAACGAGTGGAGGCTTGGGGCTGCTCCCCCTCTCCTTCAAGGGCAGGAAGTGTTCATTTTATACAGCGAGGACTCTGTGCTTGCTTTGGTGGACATCTTCAGTGGGTCGTGGCTCTGGAAGCATTTAGAGAACACAGAACTTCACTAAGTTTAGCCCAAATCGTGAACCTGAGGAGTGAAGCATTAAATGAGCTCACAAAAACATAGAGCATGATATGCATAATGCAATTACATGTGCTCTACAAACAGTCTTCCCAGTGGCCTCACTTGTAAGTGGCCATACCTCCCACTTGGCACACGTGTGGAGGATGGGGACACACGAAAGCCCCATAGGACACCTTCTTGGACATGCTTGTGTTCTGGTATGAAATGGTAAAGGGGCAGGAAGAACATGCGTGGGTGGGCTTGGTCCAGTTTCCTAGCCCCTCTTCTGGGATTGGAGGTGGAGCGGGCCGGGCCGGTGCTTGACTTCCTTTCACATCATGGATGGAGAAGTCCCAGAGTGAGAAGGAATAGCGGAAACCCGAGTCAGGCTGCTGCAAAGCGGTCAGCTCAGGGCCCTCCTCAGACTATGGACTTGGTTCCTTTTTCCCAATTGAAAATATGGTCATCCTCTCACTCACATGTGACTGTGTTTTGGCACATTGTCCTCTGAAGTCAGGGATGTCACAGGGGCTAGAAATGCAGCCTGAGGAGGGCCGTGCCCTGCCTGCCTGCCTGCTTGCCTGCCTGCAGAGGGGCTGGGCTGTGACATGGGGGTGGTGAGATGCACGGATCGTCAATTGCCAGCTGGCTCCCCCTGCCCCACTAGGGAGAAAACTTTGTCTCACTGTGTTGTGGCGAAGACCTGTGCCCAGCCAGCCCTTGGCATCTGCCCCCACCCTGAGAAGGAAGCCTTGGAGGCTGCCTCGTCTGTTCCTGTTTCCTGAAGCCTGTGGGGCCACTCTTGACTGCCTTCAGATCGCTCAGAGGAGACCTTCTGGCTGCGCGGGGGGGAACTCCGGTACTTGAAGATGGGAAGTACATGGCACCATGGAAGTTTCCTTTCCTCCGTTGTAAAGAAGACTTGTGCTTGACATGCCAACGGCAGAACTCAGTCTTGGAAGTGCAACAGCTTTGCAAGCCTCTGTTTTCCAAGTTTCTGATGCTGGTTCACGGGTTCATGTTTCAGGGAAGGAAGCAGGAAGCCACACTGATGCTCCTTGTCCCAAATAACAGTTGGAGCTGCATCTAAATGGGCCCTGGAGAGGAGGCATGGATGTGGGAGGTGGGTGGTCACTCTTGGACAGAGCCACTGTGCTGTCTTACTTCCCAGCCTCTCTCCACGTTTACCTTTTCCCGGCAAGCATGTCAGGCACCACATTTGAGGTGCTGGGACGGATAGAACAAGGTCTCTGTTTTTCTGGAAGCCACAAGTTGCCAAGCATCATATAAAGATGAAAGACATAGTTATATTTGCAGTCCAGCCATAGATTTCGCTAATATTAACTGAGCACCTGCTTCGTTTTGACATGTAGTAAAGCATGTGATCCTTGCACAACCTGGAGAAATGGGTTGCATTCTGATTCCCATTTCACGGATGAGGAAATTGAGCCCAGAGAGGTCCGCCGACTCATCGAAGGTCTCAACTGGTAAAGGACATCTGGCTGTCCACCTTAGTCTGCCTGATTTCAAGTCTGAGCTGTTAGAACTCTTAGAAGGGAGAAGCTGACCAGGAGGATGGGAGCTTCTAGAGGAGGTGGCATTTGAAAGATGAGCCTAGAAGGTTGGGTCCCAGGGCAGACCTTACCTGGTAAGGTAAGAATCAGGGTGTTTCCATGGCTACCAATCTTCAATAAGCTCTTTCTGTAGACACAGAATTGCTAATGGAGGAATTAGCCCTGTTCCCAGGCAGCAGAGCTACTTCTTTGAAGCCAGGATATCCTCCCTTCCTCTCTCCCTTCTCCCTCCAGTGATCTTATTGGCCATACACAGTAAAGAGTAGACTAAATACCTCCATTTTTGCTTTCTGGAATTTTACTGAATAGTTAACTATAGTAGTATTGGTGGGCCTACCAGCAACTGGTCTAAAACCATAGCGCCCCCAGCAGAGACTCATTTTAAAACTTAGCATCTAGATAAAGTTGAATGGTCCAGCCCTGGCCAATTTAGCTCAGTGGTTAGAATATAGATGGAAGGTTGAGGGTTCAATCTCTGGCCCCAGTCAGGGTGAGTGTGGGAGGCTACTAATCCATCAATTTGTCTCTCAATGGAAAAAATATCCTCCCGTGAGGATTTTAAAAAAAAAAAAGTTGAATGGTTCAGCCACACCAGGGAATACTATGCAGCCATTAAAAAGGAAATATTGATTTGTTTGTAACCCTCTGAATTAAAATCCAATTCTATAACAATAAAGTTAACAAGAGCCTATTTGTATAGAAATACATTTGAAATTTATGGATTTTTGTAAAGGAAAATCTAGACAGATGAACAGTCTGTTCCAGGGAGTGGGATTGAAGGGTAAGCTTTTTGGAAAAGATTGTAAATCTCTACTTATTTGTGATATTTCTGACATTGAGCATGTATTACTTTTGTAATTAGATATAAAAATTACATTTTCTTGACACAGAAAAGGTGGGGGACCTCAGCTCTAAGCTCCAGTCCCAGAAAGCTGAGTCCAGCCGGTGGGTTGGATCTCTGCACTGGGTTCCTGTGACTCCAGCTCCTCAGTCCCTGCACTTGGTTCCTGCTTGGGCATCTTGGGGACAGAGCTGGGGTCAGGTCACACTGGGACCAGTGCCCAACAGCAGCTTCTGTAAACTGCCCAGCAACAGACGTCCCAGGTCTTGGCTGCAAGTCCCAGCCTTTCTCCCAGAGCTGAGAAACGAGCTCTCTGGGCCAAGGGTGCGGTGGTAGCTGTGATTGCCATTAACTTTGGGGTGGGCCAGGTTGGCAGTTTACAGCTTAGCTGTGGGAGAGCGGGGTAGGTAACTCTGACCTCAAATACTGCCTCTTGGAGCCTTACCTCCAATCAGAACTGTGGGCCTTTACTGTGTGTTGCCATAGGTTAGCAGTGGCCCCAAAGTCACAGTTAACATTGACATGCAAGCTTATCAGACTTTGGCTCTTCTTACTTTGGGGTCCTCCTTAGGAATATTCTCTGGATGAGGTTGGTGGCTGATAGATTTGAGCCCAGATCCCACTTACTAGAGATAGGACTTTGCTAGTTACTGGCTACTCCCCCTACCCGCTCAAGCGTCAATTATTCATCTGTAAAATGGGCACAACCGCTCCTTTGCCAGGTGAATGGAAGGGTCAGAGATAATATTGGAAACGCCCAGGCATTCATTAATGTTGGTTCCCTCCTCTTGTGCTAGTTGAGAGGAAAGATGTATGTACAGGTGGGTACCAGCACATCCAAGGCCCCAGCCTGGGAATGTTAAGACAAAGGGCATTTTGTCTTGGCTGCAGGAGAGAGATCTAAGGCTGCCCTAAGCCAGTGATGGTGAACCTATGACACGCGTGTCAGAGGTGACACGCGAACTCATTTTTTTTGGTTGATTTTTCTTTAAGTGGCATTTAAATATATAAAATAAATATAAAAAATATAAGTCTTTGTTTTACTATGGTTGCAAATATCAAAAAATTTCTATATGTGGCATGGCACCAGAGTTAAGTTAGGGTTTTTCAAAATGCTGACACGCCGAGCTCAAAAGGTTCGCCATCACTGCCCTAAGCCAATCCCTTGGGTGTGGGAGGGGGGAGAAGGAAAGAGAGGACCCCGAGGCTAGTGCTGGGAAGGGGTATGGTGTCTGGAGCAGGGAGCCAAACTCCTTTGCTAGGGACTGTTATTGTTGCTGTTGTTGATAATGCTGAGTTAATCAGATCAAGGTTTAGGACAGAGAGGAGATATTGTAAGCCCTCTGGTAAATGTTAGCTACTGCTATGAGCTCACTTAATGAGTAACCGGCCTGAGGTCACACGGTAAGAAGGGCCAGAGCTGGGGTTTGCATCCTGCACTGGTTCTAAAGAGTCCACTGTTTTCTTCATTGTTTATTGATTTGAGAGAGAGACATAGATGTGTTGCTGCCCTTACTTATGCATTCCTTGGTTGATTCTTGTATGTGTCCTGACTGGGGATCGAACCCACAGCCTTGGCATAGCGGGACTGCTCTAACCACTGAGTGACCCAGCCAGGGAAGACTCCACTCTTGTTACCCTCTTCTTCACTCTGCTGTCCAGTGACATTAGCTCTCATTTCACAGTCTTGGCCTCCTTTTGATCTTGGACTTGGCTGCTGGAGCCAGCCCTCGCTCCAAGACAGGCCTGGAGTGCCTCAGTGTTAGGGGAGCCTTCCCTGTGATAAGGGCTCAGGGCGGGGGGTGGTGGCTGCTAATGTTGAAGGCATGTAAGCGTGAACAAACATGAACTACCAGGAGCTTAGGCATGGATCCCCTCCACTGAGAGGGAGCTCCTATGGCTGGTTTTTAAATGCATGCTTTATCTCTGACTTTTAAACATGGAGAAGTTTTATCCTGAATTGGGTGGGGGGATTGGTGGAGTGTTTGAAGACATAAATCTTGTATCTAAATTGCAGTCCATTAACAGACTTCCTTTAGCAATACAGCATGTGGACTGAGCTGGGGACAAAGGTTTTGAGGGGCCTTTCCCCCGGCTGCCACATGAAGGAAGCCTGTGGCTTCCCCTGTCCTTTCCTGCTCAGCTGTGCTCACCACCAACTTCGTTGCAGCAACAGCAGCTCCAGGCGCAGCACCTCTCCCATGCCACGCATGGCCCCCCGGTCCAGTTGCCACCCCACCCATCAGGCCTCCAGCCTCCAGGGATCCCCCCGGTGACAGGGAGCAGCTCGGGGCTGCTGGCACTCGGAGCCCTGGGCAGCCAGGCCCACATGACAGTGAAGGACGAGAAGAACCACCATGAGCTGGACCACAGAGGTGCGGCCTAGATCTGGGGCTGGGGGCAGAGGGCAGAGGGCAGGGCTGGGCTGGGGCAGAGGTCCGGTAGGCCCCACTTAGTGGACACAGCAAATGCTATCCCCGTAGGATCAGGAGTTAGCAGAAGCTTTGGAGCTGTCTCTTGAATTCCTGGTGGGTGGGAACAAGAGTCCTGTCACCCATGCCAATCCCGCCCATCCCCCCAACCCCCAGTGTACACCGGATTCTCTGCCTTGGAAGACACCTTGTTCATCCATCCCAGAGTACCCTCCACTCCTATCTTCCTAGACACCGTGCCTAGTCTTAAGGGCCGGCCTCAGTCCCACGCCTTCAGGATGCCTTCCTGGCCAGGCTGGGGTCTTTTGCAAATTCACATAAGAGTTTAAGAGGTAGAGTCCCAAGAACTGAGCCTTTGTTACTGTCCTCTTGTATCCTACCCCTGGAAAGCGTTTGTCCTCCAGGATTATCAGTCCTCTGAGGGCAGGGGTATTGAACAGAATGTGTGTCTCACCCACGCAGGTGCCTTGGAAACGGCACGCAGTCAGCACTCACGTAAAAACTTGTGAGTTGACTGCCTTTAGGCAGAGGTTGCCACCACACTACTGCGGACGGTGCTTGGGAAGACTTGCAATGAGGACCTGCTCCCACCCTTCCCTGGGTCCTAACATGAGAACCCAGGAAGCTGCACAGGGCAGGCCCTCCGGAGGACTCAGTTCGAATGGGAGAGGAAGGGGCCGGCTTCCTGGGAGACCCTTTTCAAAAACCGCCACCTTGTGTGCTCTGCCCTGAGGTGGTCTTTCGAGCTTTATTGTTTATTGAGATATAATTGACATATCACATAATGCCTATTCAAAGTATCCAGCGGGATGATTTCATCTGCCCTTAGATGTTTGCCAAGGCACACAGCTGGCACCTTCCGAGCCCCCTAGGCACCACATTCTTGGGCACTAGGGGCTTGGAGTGTCATCATCCTGCCCAGGATGGGGCCCCAAGGTGGCACCAGGCTGTGGGAGCCAGAGGCTTACATCTCTTCCCTGCAATAGGATGGGATCCCCCCCCCACCCCCCCGCAGGCAGGACAGTTAGGGTGTTAGCGCCCGACTGGTTAAGTAATCAGAGGCTTCTGCTTCCAGGGGCTTCTGGGAAAAGAGACAGAGAATGGTGTTAACTAAACAACAAACAACACCATTCTCACAATTGCTTTTTTAAAAAGCAGTGATGTTCTCAGTCCCAGATCCCATGGATATTTTCCGTAGCACGACCCTCCCCCAGCTTAGGCTTAAAATGCTGACCAGTAGCCGCGGTGTCCTCCTCGGCACGTCTGGGAGAGCCAGGCCGCCAGGCTGCCCGGGACTGGGCCGGGGGGAGTGTTAGAATTGGGGCAGTTAATTTCCAAACTGAGCAACGTCCCCTAAAGCCCTGCCTTGGCTGCCCCACAGGGAGGCCAGGACCGCTGCTTGCTTGAAAACATTGAGACTGACCTTTTCTCTTTCTTTTTTGTTTTGGGGCCCTGACCCTCCTCCTGTCCTGGCCTTCGGTCCCCAAAGAGAGAGAATCCAGTGCGGTAAGTGTCAGCACTCCGGAATCAGTTGGGTGTGTTTGGGGCGGGAGGAGGGCACCAGGTGCTTTTCTGGTGGTGGGGGGGAGTGTTGTCAGGAAATGGGAGTTGTTGTCACCTGTTGAGAGTGACCTTCAGTTGGGGAAGCCTTCATCTCCAGGCTTTTGGTCCATCATTTGTCAAAGTGCTCTGACTAAATGAGCTCCAACTCCCTTTACAGGAGAAGTGGTTAACCAGAGAGGTCTGCTGGCCGGCACTGGGGCCTCCCAGGGTGTCTGTGGAGTCTCTGGGCTGATCCAGGGCTTAGGACAGTGATGGCGAACCTATGACACGCGTGTCAGAGGCGACATGCGAACTCATTTTTTTGGTTGATTTGTTTTGTTAAATGGCATTTAAATATATAAAATAAATATCAAAAATATAAGTCTTTGTTTTACTATGGTTACAAATAAAAAATTTCTATATGTGACACGGCACCAGAGTTAAGTTAGGGTTTTTCAAAATGCTGACACACCGAGCTCAAAAGGTTCGCCATCACTGGCTTAGGACCTAGGTGTTCCACGTCCTGGGTGGGGGTGCCTCGCCACCCCCCGGGTTGGCTGCCCCCCTATGATCCTGTCTCCTCATGTTCTGAGGTTTCTCTCTGCTCTGGGTTTAAGAAAGTGCTAGGAAGTGAGCATTAAGGCCAGGCTGCCTGCACATCTGCCAGCTCTGAGATTTGTTGTAAATCTTTCTGATCACACTGAGGCTCAGAGGTTCTGTTTCAAGTGAATAAGCCTTCTGAATAAGCACGGTGGAGTCTGGATAAAAAATATCCTCCAGCGATTAGCAAAGGCATTTTGTTCCTCATAGCTGTCCTTGTATCCGGGGCCACCTAATCTGCTAGGAGAGCTTTGTTACCTTGTGTTAAGTAGGACTTGGAAGGTCAGGCAGTTAACTAGCCATCCCGACCCACCTCCCCTTCGCAGCCACTGCCCAGGCGGAGTGTGAGCCCCTCTGAGCAGCAGTGCTCGTGTCCCCTTTGGACCGGTCCTCTGCTCAGAAATCCAGATCCACACAGGGGCCCGGGAGGGGCTCACGACATAAGAAAAGAAATAACTGAAGTTGAAAATTCATTCTGATGGTTTTAGTGTTGGTTCTCAGAGGGTGGCATTTGGAGAAGTGGCTTGCCTCAATAGGAGAAGGCCGAGACTGGACCCCTCAAAGCTTAGGTCTGGTCCTGGCTTCATGGGACATTGGCTGACTCTCTTGGCCTCTCCCAGTCTCAGTTTCTTTATCTCTAACACTAGAGGCCTGGTGCACAAAATCTGTGCACAGCAGGGATTGGGGCGGGGGTCCCCTTAGCCCAGCCTGCACCCTCTCCAATCCGGGACCCCTTGGGGGATGTCTGACTGTCAGTTTAGGCCTGATACCCGGGATTGGGCCTAAACCTGCAGTCAGACATCCCTCTCACAATCTGGGACTATTGGCTCCCAACCGTTTGCCTGCCTGCCTGCCTGATTGCCCCTAACTGCTTCTGCCTACCAGACTGATCAACCCCTATAGTTTGCCCACGGCTGGTATAGAAGATAGATGGGCATCCTCCTGCCCAGCCAGCCTCTCAGCTTAGTTAGGCAGACCCCACCTCTCAGAACAGAACCCAGGGTCCCAGACCTGACCTGGTTAATGGACCTGTTGCAGAAGGAAATGGGTCATTGAAGCCCAAAACCCTCCCTGTCTTCGCATCGCCCTCATCCTCATAGCTATTTGCTCTTGGCTTTTTGCCCCAGTTTATGAAAGCTTTCTGCTACAAGAAACCCCCAGGGAACCCTCAGGAGCTAAGCTGCTCACTCGATGTCACTCTCCCATATCCATGCACATCGGATGTATAAAGCAGCGGGGCAGGCTCAGGCCCCTGGAGAGTCCAGTGGGAATGAGTCAAGATGCCATCTGGGGGCGGGATGGGCAGCTTGGGAGAGGCAGTAGGGCTGTGTGCATGCGGGGATGGTGTCGGAGGGGGTGTAGTCTGAAGCAATCAGCCCTTTGGAAACCAGGTTGTCAACAGATGTGGCCCACGGCCGGAAGGACGAAGCTTTGTCGGGGTGGGAGGGGGGAATGGCTGGACGGGCTGGAAGCTGTCCCAGAGGGGTTAGTCTAGAGTCCAATTAGAGGTAGCTTCATTCATATTTCCTTGCCTAGCCGAAGCAATAAAAAATACTTAGTTTTTTGGCCGCCTGCCAGCCAGAGGCGGGCTGGATCGATGCCGCTAAATGCCTGACATGACTCTCCGGTAGCAGCAGGGTTTTCAGCCTGACTGCATGAGAAGAAAGAGCTCGCTGTGCTCTGAGCTGCGTTCTGGGGCGCAGGAGAAACACGAGCTGCCACACGCCCCCTCCTCCCTGCCCGCCTGCAAGGATAGGGCCTGGAAGCATTTCTGCTTAGCGTGGGGCGGCCACCGTTGGAGGAAGGGAAATGAAATGACGGTGATTTTTCTGCCAGGCTTGCAGCAGCTAATTGAATTGCGGCTGTGCGCACATCGACGTCACTCGCAGGGCTGTGGGGAAGGTTGAACTGCAGTTCCATTATAACTTCCATTTTTTTCTTCAATGCTTGATAACTCTGCCATTTTAATTTGCTTTAGGCAGAAACTTGGCGGGGAAGGGATGCCCAGAAACCGGCTTAGCAAAGGAAATTAAGTTTGCAGCTGGTTTCCACACCATTCCCCCAAACGCCGGCGCTAACCCCCAGGAAAATGGGAAAACGGAGGTGTAGGCTCATCCCACCCGCCCTTTGATGCCCTCTTGTGTACATACGTCCCTCTGCGTCCCTGTGTGTCCTCATCACACACCTCTGCACTGCATGGATGTTGATGGCTTGGCCTTTCCCTTCTCTTTGGCTGGACTGGAAGCTCCCGGAAGGCAGCCTCTTCCTCCATCCTGGGCACCCGCTACCCCCTCCCCCCCCCCATCCCTTGCATGCTGGGTACTCAGAACAGGGGTGGGTAATGAGAAAGTGAGGGAAGGTTAGGGATTTGGCTCTGAGACCAGAGTAAACCTAACCAGCCACCCCAAGGGGGACATTGGTTCTGGCTTTATTCTCTGGGCACAGAGGTTTGCCGGCAGGTGCCCCTCCTTAGGTCCCAGCCTGGTGCTGACAGCCACGTGGTGCGTTCCTGCCGCCGTCACCCGGGGAGCCCACAGGTCCTCCTCTGAGGGTGGCGCTCACACCTTCCGGAGAGCGTTGTTTCCAGGCTGCCTCAGCTGTAGGCCCGTCTTTGCCTTCCCCAGGCCTCGAGTTCCAAAGTTGTCTTGTCCCTGCTTGCTTTGTATTTGAAGGGAGAACGCATTAGGTCCAGGCCAGAGGAACTTGGCTTTCCTTCATGTTGCCTCCTGTCAGCGGGCCTTGGGCACGCTTCCCGCTGCGTTCCCATTGTGACAGGAACAGGGAGGACTGCCGCCTCCCTGGTGCCCTTTTCCCATCTCTCGGAGGGAAGACGCATTTCTGTCTCTTTGAAATCCTGGTATTTCTCCAAAGCTGCACCTCCACTTAGGAAGCCTGTTGGCAGCAGTCATTCCTGTCGGGTCAGCAGATGAAGATTTGCACATGGTTCCAGTTTGTCAGCTCAGATCCATCTTTCAGGACTTGGTTCAAATTTTGCTCATCCCTTCTTGGAACAAATACGCGTGACAGGCATGAGATGGGGTGAAGGCAGCGGGGGGGGGGGGGGGGGGGGGCGGCCCTGAAGGAGCGCACAGTCTCATAGGCCAGAGGGCACAGGGCTAATGGCAAGGTTAATTACTTAGTAGCAGCGGCTTGGCGACAAAAGCGAATTGTGATGCTCCCAGAGCCTCTCTCAGGGGGACCTAGTCAGTGGAGTCAGGAAGGCTTTCCTGGTGAGGGGCTGATGCAGCTGTGACCTTCGGGACACGAAGGACACGTGCACTGACCTCCTGAGTTAGCGCACTGAGTTAGCTGGGACTGTGTGTGTGAAATGATCACACTGAACCTCCTTCCTGCTTCCAGAATAACTCAGTGTCGCCCTCGGAAAGCCTGCGGGTCAGTGAGAAGCATCGGGGCTCTGCAGACTACAGTATGGAAGCCAAGAAGCGGAAGGCCGAGGACAAGGACAGCCTGAGCCGATACGTATGTCTGAGGGTGTGGTGGGCACTGCTGGGCCTTGTGGTGGGCAGGCTGGGGTGTGGGAGAACCCACAGGACCTGTTGTGGGTGAGTCAGAAAGACATACTAGTAAGTGGGGCCAAGGGCAGGAGAGGGTCCCACCAAGGGTAGGTGGTGGCCTGGGGGAGGTGGGTGGAGGGCAGCGGGCGGCGGAGTCTGGGGAGAACTGAGGGCATCTCTCAGGGACAGGCCAACAACCCCGGCTGCCATCGGGCCCTCCTGGAGTGCCCATCTGTGTTGCTCACAGTTTGACCCTACAGCCTGACTGTGGTGCCTGCCCTGCAGGCTGTGCAGTGTGCAGGGTGAGAGCTGGCACAGAGGGAAGGCCGATGCTATGCCGGGACCTGGTGGTCTTGCGCCAAGGCCTCTTTAGCCACTTGGCTGCTCTGTGGCTTTGGACACGTTGCACAGCCGAAGCCTCAGCTGCATTTCTGGGCGCTGTGGCTCATCTTCCCTCCCACACAGAGTGTGGAAATGGTGAAGTGAGACCAGTCACTTCCTTGTAAATGATGGCAGATATAAACCCACTGGAAAGTAGTGTCTGGCTTCAAAGAGACAAGTTAAAGGGGCTTAGAAACATAACGGGCCAGCTGTCGGCGTGGCTGCCAGTGGGTGTGGGAGCAGAATGACCCCAGGGCTGGGGGCCAGGCTGGAGTACAGTGAGGAGGAGGGCCGCCTTTGGTGGACTTCGGGTTTGGCCTGGGTTCAAATCCGGCTGGTGGAAGCAGGGTGGGGATGGTGTGGGGTGGGGAGGGTGTGGCCTCTTACTGGCTTCTCTCTCGGTGCAGGACAGTGATGGGGACAAGAGTGATGATCTAGTGGTGGATGTTTCCAATGAGGTAAGGGCAGGCCTGGACTGCAGGGCGGCTCTCGGCTTGGGCGTGTGAGAGTGTTCCTGCCTGGTGGGTGCTCTGTGTCTCAGCTACTGTGCTAACATACTGGCAGCGTGGAGCGCGAGGAGGCCTCTGCAGTTGGGGCATCAGGCTGGTGGGGAGGAGCAGAGCAGGGCTTTGGTGGCTGGGCCTTCATGGGCACTGCGGGTTTCCCAGGACGGGTCCTCACAGAACCCCCCAGAGATCCCAGATTAGGGCCAGGGCTGGTTCCTCACGGCCTCCAGGTCAGCTGTGTTCTGCCCACCACCCTGGGGTCTGGAGGTGGGGTTGTGACCCCTGGGTCAGCCTCAGCCAGGAGGAGGAGCTGGAGCAGATCCACCCAAGGCCAAGAGGCCCAGCTGCTCAGTCTGAGTCCTGAACTGTGTGTGATTTGGGCAGGTCACCCCATCCCCACCCAGACCCCAAGTCTCCCCACCTGGGAGTCGAAGGGATCAGACTAGATAATTAAGAACTAGTTACCCCCACTTTGGGGTCCCCAGTCTCTCAGCCAAGCTCCTTTTCCTATCACCCATGCCCACTCCCTTCCATCCCAGCGCAGGAAAGAGTCTAGGCTGGTTGCTGCTTTGAGTACAGTTGTGCATCACTTGTGTTTTTAGGACCCAGCAACACCCCGGGTCAGCCCAGCACACTCCCCTCCTGAAAATGGGCTGGACAAAGCCCGTGGCCTGAAAAAGGATGCCCCCACCAGCCCCGCCTCGGTGGCCTCCTCCAGCAGCACACCTTCCTCCAAGACCAAAGACCTTGGTCATGTACGTGGGGTCTGCCCTTGGTGCTGCGGAGGGTCGGGGTGGAGGGGAAACGTCGGAAAAGAGACTGGAGCCAGAGTGATGCTGACCAGAGGGCAGAGGGATGGGGTAAAACAAATAGGTTGGGCTTTGCCCAGGTTCAAATGCCGGTTTTACTGCTTGGCCTGTGCTAGCTACGTAATGTTTCTAAGCCTTGGTTGCTGCATCTACAAAGTGGGAAAGTCACCATGGCCTCAGCTAAACAAGGTTGGGCAAGAATGAGTGGCTGTTGGGGCAGAAGATTCTAAACTGGGCTGGCTGGGGGGCGGGGGGAGGGC